AGGTTTAGAAAATTTGTGAACAATTGAATATGTGCTTTATGCTTTTTTAACTTATTGAATTTACAAAGGAATTTGAGATTTAAAAAGTCAGACATAGATAGTTTTTGCAGCGGAAGTTGGTTAACTTTACATGTGTTTTTCAAGAACAAATCTTATAACTTCCCTAACATCTCTCTTGTCATCAGTTTTGAGTTTCTTGCAAATTTTCCGAAGCTTAACGTTTGTCTCATTGATTTAAAACCGTTTTCAACAAGTTTCCATTTGATTTTCTTAAGTATTTTGGTAGTCATATTATTTACTTACTTAACTTGATTTGAAACAGAAATTTGATGCACATTAGGTCTCTAAGGATACGATAACCCTTTATACTATAAATGCGATTATGTGTGGATTTTTCTAGGCTAAAACTTAGAACTATCACCAGTTGCAAACGGCGATCGCAAATACTGATTACAAACGTCAATCGCAAACGCTAGTCGAAAACGGTATTTGTAAATGGCAATCGCTTTAATCATCAAATTTTTTTTTTGTAACAATTATGTTTTTCTTTTTTTTTTAATTAAAATTTATACATATTTTTATTTTAATATTTTTGTTGTTGTTGAAATTTTAATGATATTTTCGTTACTAAAAGAAAAAAAGGTTTGAAGGTTTTTTACCAACTTTTGAACATTGTTTTACTAAAAAACATTTCTCTCAAATTTGTTTTAGTAATTATGGAACTTTCCAAAATTATTTTAATAATTATCTCTAAAATTTATAAAATCCAGTTTATATAAAAAGCAGTGGGATGTAAGAAAGACATCCTTGCACGATTTAAGGATGCTTGTTAGCCTGACATATGACCAAAGTTCTACAATGCGCCGCTCATTTTCTGTTTATTTTTAAATTGAAAAGGACGACTGACCGATTCAGATTTAACCACTTTCCTTTTTTTGGATAAAGTTGATATCCGAAGAGACCAGTGGAATATTATTCAGGAAATATTTACAATATGATATGATCCCACATTATTTTAACTTCTCGTGGATACATCATAAGTGCGTGCGTATTTTAGAGTCACGTATGTGCAACGTATCCAACACGCGTACTTGTTTTACGCGCGTAGTCGTAGAAGTGGAAAAATACAGATGCACACGTACATGTATGTGCACAATGTGCCCATGCATGTGACTTAAAGCTTGGGGACAATGAGAGGAATCTGAATTCTGCAAATTGTTCGTCTTTATTGAAAGTTTAAAGTTGGGAGAAAAAGACATATTCTTCTTACATGCTTTACATTTCGCAACCTACTGATTCGCATTGCAAATTCTTTAACATTTTTTTTGTCTCTTTAATTAGTTTCGTACTCGAATTCGGAAGCAGTAGATTCAACCCTTTAATTTATGTCCATTCTCTATTTGGATAGTGATTGGAAAGATCTCTTAATGACATTATTAACATAGGAGTAATTGAAAGAAAAATATAACTTTTATATCAAAAAGGTTGCATGTAAAATTCGAATTGCATCCCATAGTCGGCACATGAATAACTTAATGGCATTTTAATGATTTTATATCTATAGCTGTCTGGTATATACGTAGAGTATTTATATATGTATACAGTATATGTACTGACACTCACACAAATCATCAATATCTCAAAGTATAATGGGGATATACAAAAGTATTCAAATATAAGCCTATGTGATAAACAATGAATAAAAACAAGAATAATATGGTCAAAATGGGGAAATGTGAAAGACTACCTAAGATTTGATGAGAATGTGTCAGATATCAAAGCGAAGGAAAAAGCTTCAAGGACTCTCTACTTCTTTAACTTATCATCAACCTCCTCTATTATATTATCCATTGGAATCCTATGGAGATTTATATGGTCAAATTAACAGATGGACCATATGGTCAACACGACATCTGAATGACCATAATACTTCTTTATTAATCTAGTTTATTTAGCTCAAACTATAAGCAAAGTTGTTATGTTTGACAAATGTGGTACATGGCAGAATATGTTAAACAATTATAGATCACTGCAAAATGGTGTAGAACGATTCATGTTTATTTTTTGTTTACTATGTTATGGCATGAAAATATATACTTCCATTCCTATGAGTACACATATTACTCTATAGAATAGAATCATATATTCTTACAATACTACATGTTTATCCAGGAGTAGTACCGATATTTTTTAGTTTGTAAGGTTTTTATGTGTTTTATCTTAATTTAGTTAACTAAATTTTATAGAATAACTGTATTTGCAAGGAGAAATTGTAAAAATATCACTTTTTATGTGCACATTTGCAAAAATGCCACTTAGGAGTGTTCATTTGTAAAAATGCCACTAATTATAGATTTTTAAACCGTGTATCTTAAAATTCTAAACACTAAAAAAAGTTGACTCCTAAACCCTCATAACTAAACC